CAGTGGCCCTTTGCAACGGGCAGTGGTTCTCAGCCCTGGCCACAGGTTGGAATCACCTGGACGGCTTTAACTGCTGCCTTTTCTGCCCTGACTTAACCAGGCTGGGGCGAGCCCTAGGCATTGGAATTTTGAAAATCTTCCCAGGTGATTCCAATGTTCAGCCAAAGTCAAGAGTGAACTACCACTCAGAGGCAATGTTTCTCAACGGGGAGCAATTTTGCTGCCCACCCCACCCCCGCCCCACCCCAGACCTGTGCCAAAGTTTGAGATGTTTACGATGGTCACTCTGCGAGGGGTTGCTGCTGGCTCTCGTGGGGAGGGGTCAGGGCTGCTGCTGAACCTCTTACAATGCATGGGACATCCTGCCCCCACCCCAGCCAAGAGTTATCCAGCCCCAAATGTCACTAGTACCAGGGTTGAGAAACCTAGAATGGTGGTTCTCACGCTTGAGTGAATCACCTGAAGGACTTACTAAAACACAGAGGGCTGGGCTCCAACCCCCAGAGGTTTTGATTCAGTTAAGTCAGGGGTGGGGCCTTGGAATTTGCATTTCTAACAAGTTCCCAGGTGCTTCTGAAGCTGGTGGTCAGGGGCTACACACTGAGGACTGCTACTCTGGAATGGCTCTGATCACAGGCCCAGGTGATCCTGTTTTCCTAGATCTGTGATCTATTATATCCATTACAATTACTAGAAAACTAAAATAACAGTGATTGTATCACTCAGGCAGAAGAGCACTCTCTCTCACATAGCAGGAACCAGGAGAGGCCATCCAAAGCTCATATGGCAGTTCTGGACTTAGCAGGGATCCAGGCTTCCATCTTCTTTGATTATCTTAGTGCATGACTCTCATTTTCAATGGAGTCCCTCATAGTCCAAGATAGCTGCTGTGGCACCATCCATCATGTCCTCATTGGAAGTGGAGGGCAGTAAAGGCAGATAGGTAAAAACTGGGCTCCTTCGAATACCTTTTGAACAGCCTCCCCAGAAGTCCCACAATACTTTCGCTTACATCTCTTTGGCCAGATAATAGTCACATGTCCATAGCTGCCAAGGGAGTCTGGGAAACACAATCTTTTTACTCTGGGCCACAATATGCCAGCCAAAACTCAAGAGTTACGTTACTAAGTAGAAAAGGGAGACTAGATACCGGGTGAAAACCTAACAGATACTGCCCACCTGTGAGCGCCTAATCCTTCTTAAGAGTTATCATTTATTTGGCATCTTCCATGTGCCATGTGCTTTTAGTATAGTATCTCATTTAATTCTGAATGCTTTGCAGGGCAGACAATAATATTACCTCTGTTTGGCAGATGACAAAACAGGCTTTCAGGGATTAAGCCATTGGGCCCAGTGACAGTTACAAATGGTGTCATTTGACAATCTACTTAAAAGTCTGAGCTTTTGTTATTTTTTTAATTGAAGTAGAGTCAGTCTACAATGTTGTGTCAATTTCTGGTGTGCAGCATAATGGTTCAGTCATACATATACATACATGTATTCCTTTGCATATTCTTTTTCCATAATAGGTTACTACAAGATATAGAATATAGTTCCCTGTGCTATGTAAAAGAAACTTGTTGTTTATCTATTTTATATATAGTAGTTAATATCTACAAATCTCAAACCCCCAATTTATCCCTCCCCCTCCCCCCCGTAACCGTAAGTTCGTTTTCTATGTCTGTGAGTCTGTTTCTGTTTATTTATTTATTTATTTATTATAAGTTCATTTGTGTCCTTTTTTTTTTTTGATTTCACATGTGAGTGAAATCATATGGTAGTTTTCTTTGTCTTTCTGGCTTCCTTCACTTAGGATGACGATCCATCCATGTTGCTGCAAATGGCATTATTTTATTATTTATGGCTGAGTAGTATTCCACTGTGTGTATCTACCACATCTTTATCCAGTCATCTGTTGATGGACACTTAGGTTGCTTCCACGTCTTGGCTGTTGTAAATGGTGCTGCTGCTGCTATGAACATTGGGGTGCCTGTATCTTTTTGAAATAGAGTTCCCTCCTGATATGTGTCCAGGCTTCTTCTTGCCTCAGTTGCTCTCAGAGACCTGACCTTTTCTTTCTGAGCCTAGAGGGTGTCTGGTTGACATCTCCAAGCCAAATTCCCCTTCTGACCAGTTCCATTCCACGGTTACCAGTGTCGCTACGGTGACACTTTCTTCTGTAGATCTGTGGGGAAACACACGAGGGATGCCCTGACTGACAAGATTCATTTCCTATGCTGACGTAAAACTGCTGTGAAAACAACACACATTTATTCTCTTACAATCTCTTATATTAGCCAGTTTCACTGGGCTAATGTCAAGGCGTCTGCAGGGCCGTTTCCTTCTGGAGGCCACCTGTTTCCCTTGCCTAATGCTGCTTCCCTCGAATCGCTCAGCCTCTTGCATCCATTATCGCATCTCCCGCTCCGTCTCTTGTGATCTCCCTCTGCGTCCTTCTTATAAGGACACTTGTGATTATATTTGGCCTCCACCCCACCTCGTAAACCAGGATAATCTCGGCATCTCAAGATCCTTGACTTAGTCATGTCTGCACAGTCCCTTTTGCTAGAGATGGCAACGTTCCCAGGCCGCAGGGATTATGAAGCCACGGGGCTCCTTGGGGGCTAACGCTCAGCCTGTCACAGGGGCCCTTCCTGCTGCTGTTCCTCTTTCCTGGTCCCCAGTTTTTCTTCCATGGATTGTTCCAAGTGTAGAATGTACATCCGTTTCACTTCCATCCCAGGAGTTTTCGAAGAGGCCAGAGACGGGGTCTCTGGGGTCTGAAGGGTATGTTGGAGGCTTGTCTAACCAGCTCCTAGCGGCCATAGCAACGGATGTGAAAACATTCAAGTGGGGAAAGATCAGGGCGGTGGGGCAGGGTGGGCAGGGAATCCGGCCCTCCAGGTGGCAGAGTGACTTAGCCTGGGGAACGATGCAGGAGCGAGAGGCAGAAACGGCAGGTCTGGCGGTCCTGCAGCAAACTTCCTGAACCCTTTGCACCGTATTTCTAAGTACTTTCAAGTCTCCAGGTGCCTGCTAATCCACGTGGCCCCAGTGCCTTTCTCTAGCCTAACAGAGGCGTGTCTTTGGCCAGATACAAATGGTACACCTGGAAGAGTTGGATGGGGGCAGGGAGGGAGTGTTAAGGCTCTGCTTAAGCTGGTCTTGTGCAAGCCTCATTTTCTCCCCCTGCATTGCTGCTCTCATTTCTAGCCCTCCCCCAAGCCCCTTGGCCGGGTCTGCAGGCTGGGATGAGTCTGGGGGGGGCTGTGTGTTTTGCTTTTTACTTTATTTTGCACATGCCTCCCAACATTCCCCTCTGTGTTTAATGTCCCTCTGCCAAGGGCATGCGGTTGCTGGGCGACAAGGAGGAAGTCCCTGTGTGATTCACCCGGCCGCTGCCAATTAATTTGCTAGCTGCATGCGTCTCCCTGGGGAAGGGGCTTCTGGTTCTCTCTGAGGCGGCTCAGGGGGCTGCTGGCCAGGAGGGGAGAGGAAACGAGAGGAAGCTTAGCAGGACTTTGGGGTGGTTTGGGGTGTTTTCGGGTCCAAAGGAAAGAGAGTGTCCAGAGGGTCTGGACTTCACCTGGGCGAGACGCCTGGTTTCCCTCTTGGCCACCCATCAGAGAGCTGCCTGGATCACCAAGGGGCCTCTGCGTAGGCCTGTTGGCTGGCTTTTTGGGGGAGCTGACTCCTAAATGCAGATTCCCTCTCCTGCCACAGTTCTCCTGCAGAGGAATGTCTTGAACCATCGTCTTCCTACTCAGTCTCCCCCACCGGCCCTCAGGGTGACATCCTCCCATTTCTGACAATCGGCTTCCTTCCTTCTGGCTTCACAGCCGCCGCACGTGTCTCCGCCTGGGGCTTAGCCAAAGCCCACAGAGGGCTCCCTTGCACCGGGCTGAGCCACGCGACCCTCCCAGGTCTGTAGAGGGACAGGAGGGGCCCGCTGGCCCGACTGCCCCCAGAATCCTTCTTGCGCTTCCCTCAGATGCTTCTGTCCTTCTGGCCTCATGCTTGATCAGGGTTGCCTCTCTACTTACGGCCTCCGAGGGTGGGGCTTGCCTGTCTGGTGTACGTCTGCGTCCACGGTGTCTAAGCCGACACGGGGCTCGTGAATGCACGGGTTTGCGCCTGCCCAAGGCATCCCTTGCAGGTTCGTGGTGATGACTGCTGGGGCCAGAGACCCGGTGAGCAGCCTTCGTCACGGGACCCGGATCGTTTCTGTCTGTGCTAGGGCTCTCACTTGCATTGCTGGGCCTCGGCAATTTTAAAGCAGGGAAGCCCCCTGAGGGCGTTCAGCGGTACTAAATATATTTGACGCTCAGAAGTGGGGCGTTAGATGGAGTGGCGGGAAGCCAGGAAAGCGTGATGAGTCCAAGTCCATCTTCATTTATTTGCCATCAGCATTAGGGAAAGCGAAATGTGTTACATCGCGTCTTTCCGTCCTCTGAGGGACCCCTGTCTACTCCGGAGTATCTCCTCATTGGTGGTTAAGGGATTTGTGAAAGCAGAGAGATGTTCTGGCTACAGTGGGCATGAGGGTTAAGGACCAGATGCTTGTCATCCTGTACCGAGGACATTGGCACCCTCTGTGCCTCAGTGTTCCCATCTATAAACTGGGTGGTCTGACACCTCCATGCTCCTGGCCCCGTATCTCAGGGACATCATCGCGACATGCTGAAAAACAGAATTTTCCACTTCTTCTGGGCTGGCTGTATTCAGCGGATTTGTTGTTGTTGTATTTTTTTTTAATCAGCTATGGGTGTAGAGGATTCTCGGCGATGATTCAGTGTACAGGGAGTTCCTTTAACGGTATGAATAGGTCTTTTTTTTCCCCCCTCCTTAACTAAAATACTGCTTTTAGAAGCAGCACATGTTCTGTTCAGTAGCTGGAACATTACAGACTAAAGACAGTGAGGTGATGCTCACTGTTGAACGACATCTGTTGCCTGGACGGAAGCCAGAATCTCACTCTTCTGCTGTTTTTTGGTCCACAGGCCTGGAAGGGAGGACTGGTAACGAGCTGGTCTTTCTCACTCACACTTCCCACCAGGAACCTTAGTGGAGCCAACGTTTGCCACCAGGACCCCGCAGGGGACCAGGCTAAGATCAGACCATCTCTTAAGAGGCATGAGCTCTGGATTTGATTGAGAGTGCTTATTTTGGAGAAGCTTCTGGATTTGAGGAGACTTTTGAGGTGAAAGCAAAGCCCCCAGCCCTGAGGAGCTGCCTCTCTGCTGGCCTGCAAGAACAGGAGGTGGCCTGCAGCTGACGAAGATGCCGGTGTCCCAGGCCGTGTTCCTCCCTCCCTGGTCTTAAGACCCCCCTGCACCAGTGCTCGGGAACCACAGGGCTTTCTTTCTGCCACGCCCTTTCTTGCCCGCCGCCTCCCACGTCTGCTGTGCCTTTGGGCTCAGCCGTTCTTCTTGTTTGCTCCATCATCCTCCAGCCGGATGCAGAGTGAATAGTTAACTACACGTAGGTCAAACGGGACCTTAATTTCTGTTCCTGTTCCTTCCAAGAAACCAGTGTTTGTGTATAGCTGTGTAAGCAGCCTCGGAGTAGTCACCCTCCTCATTTATCTGGAATATGGGCCCACGGGTTCCAGAGCGATGCAGATCGGTGCAGAAAGCCCTCCGCCTCTCGGGTGCTGGGGATGTCAGAAGGGGCTTCGACAGAGAGCAGGGTCCAGAAGGCTAGGGTTCCCCGTGTTCAGCTTTCGTGGTTTGGATCTGTTGGATCACCTCTGGGGGAGCAGAAAGCGAGCACATCTTCTGTTGACGTGGATGCATGGTCAGCGGTGAAGACCTCTCCTCCCAGCTGGCAGCTGGGGTCCACGTCCAAACACGGTGCTTCATTACAGACTGTCCAGCGCCCAGAGTTGGTGGTGTTTACTGGGGACCTTCTGCTTTTAGTGTGTGCTGGCAACATGTACGTCCGACAGTTGATGGGCCCTACACAAGTCCTGTTCGCTCCTTTCACTCTGTGGCCACCATCCATGTGGCAGAAAACATTTCCTAGAGAGCGATCGTGGTTCAGCCTTATCCAAAATGCAGAGCCAAAGATGTCTGTACTTTGTTTTTCCAAAGCAAATGGGTGCCCTGCCTTTGTGAAAAGAATTAAAGCTAGACATGTGTATATCTTCCTTGTGTTGTAGAGGATGTATCTGTATGAGCATTTAGTAATTTCAGAGTCTTCTAAAGGAAGTGATGGGGGTCCTGCTTGGCGTCTCCAAAAGGAGCAAGGAGAACCCCTGGAGAGTGTTCCGTGGTGCTGAAATGTGAGGTTTGTCTGTGGACTTTCACCCTCCTTCCTTGCCCTGCGGGCACACTCAATTCATTAAATCCCTTCACGTTTGAAGGGGCAGAGACCCACTTATATTACCTCCGTAAATGCCGGTCTGTTTCAAGTTGCCCTGGAAGTAAAGTAGAAAGGAAACAGTCTACCCAGTGGTGTCCAGCTAGTCCTGCCCAAGAAGCCCGGGTCATTCAGGACACCCAGTCTCCAGAGATGGTTTCCAGGGATAGCAGAACTGTACCGCCGTGGTACCGTGGTCATCGTGCTCTGCTGTGAGCATCAGCATGCCCTGCTCCTGATTCTAGGATTCTGCCATGGTGATGAGCTGTGAGTGACTGACGGTCCCCGTTTGCCCAGGACTGAGGGGCTTCCCGGGCTGCAGGATTTTTAGTGCTGAACCTGGTGGGACCATCCTCAGCAAATGGAAATGGCTGGTTGCCCTACTGGGTGACCCTGCCTCTGCTTCTGCTTTGCCTGGTGTAACCGGCTGGTGCCCTTGATTGGTTCGGCCAGTTGCCACTCAGAGCCCTTGTGCCTGGCCCTTTCATTGGCCCCTGGGCAGCCCATAGGTGGGTGCCATTGGATCAGGCACCACCCCATCCTGACTGCATCGGTTGTTCCCAGGGGAGCAGGGCTGCCGTAATATTGAATAAAAGCCTAGCTATAAACAACCGGCTGTGGACAGTAGGCACCACGGCAGGCGTTTCAAGGCACCAGGGGTTCCTTTCCGACACAGTCCTGCTTATAAAGGTGAAGTTAACCTTTTCTGTGAAGAACAGTTTATTATGAAACAAAAACTAACATAGCTACCGGGGAGGATGGAAAATAGACTATGATGCGTGTGTGTGGTGGTGGGGGCGGTGTGTGTCACAGAAGCACACGCTGTGTAGAATAATCAGCCAAGAAGAAAATTCTGCATCTTAGCTGGACAGAGACTAAGCTGCAGATCTTTGGGATGGGTTGTCTGGAGAGGGAAGGAGTTGGCTCAAAGACTTCCTGAAATTCCTTTGACCTCTAGGAGCCCTTGAGGTATCAGGAGCATGTAAATTGGGCCTCGGTGTGTCTTTTCTCTCTCAAGTCTCCCAGATGCCGTTTGAGCTCAACTCAGATAGTGTGGAATGGGACCTCCCAGCTCACCTTACCTCTCCAGGCACTGACTTTATCTGGGATAAAGGAGCGGAACTTGGTAGCGGTGGCGGGGGAGCTGAGGAGGAGGAGGACATGGCAGCCCAATTTTGGGTGTTTGTGACAAGTAAGAACAACCTGAAGGCAAATTACAGGTTCTTTTCAGGTTGGTTAAAGCTGGGCTTTTAGGATTTTCATGCTGTCCTGAAGTTGTTGCTTCTTGTCGGGGATCAAGGCTCCATCTTCTCTGCTGAGAGACAGGCGTGAGCATCTGGAGTCCTGGAACACGGACCTTCAGCTAACCATGCTCACCTTGCCTGGTGTGGCCCCAGAGGTCGTTGCCTGCCGAGGTAGAGATGAGCATGCAAACATCTGGAAACGCCTCTCTCATTGCCCTTGTGTGGAGATTCAGACCCGGCCTGATGCACCTGCACCTTTGCCCCCACCTCCTGAGTCTGTTCTGACTCTCCCAGCCTTCACTGCCATTGATGGAATGCTTGCCAGCTCCTTGGGTACCATTGTTCTTTTTTAAAAGCTGGACTCATTTCCGATGTCTCCTTCATTTATGTCCATTTATGTTATTGGTTCTAAAAGAAGTCCCACCGTTGTGCCAAAAGCAACAACGTCCTCTTTTTCTCTCTTTTCTTATCTTTTCAGCCACATGCAGTCACAGAATCTCAGAGCGTGAAGTGGTCTCAAGCATCAGTCTTATCTAGATCTACCAGTGACTAAGGCAGGAATCCCCTTTCCGACATGGGGTGAGGGATGGTCCAGCTGTGGGGGAGGCAGCCTTCTTGGCAGAGTGGGAGAAGACTCTGAGAGAAGGCTGGATGATAGTCAACCTGATGGGGAAGCAGAATTGTAAAGAGCAATTCATGGGCTGCCAAGTATCCATGAATGTCAATTTCTTTATCAGATACTGAGCCAAATGCATCTTATTTCTGGGTCCAGGTGTGTTTCTTACGCTGATAAAAAGCACAGAGTGGGGAAACAAGGAGACCTGAGTTTTTGTCTCAGAAAGCCCCTCGTCTTAGTGCAGTCCTTGGAAAATGAAGACGTCAGGCCACAGGCTCCCCAAAGCCCCTTCTAGCTCTGCCATCCACAGTGCCGCCACGTTTGATAAGAGTTCATGACTTAAAAGATTTGCTGTTTTTTGTTCTCTCTGGCTCTAGTCCCGCCTTAACGTCAACGTGCTCCAAGGTCGTGGGTAAGTCACTCAAGCCTTTTCTCTGGGTCTTAGTGTTCTCATCAGTGAAATGGGAGAGGGAGCGGTGGTTGGCTGTGATGATCTTCTCAGGTCCCTCCCGTGTGTCAAGTTCTGAACCTCGCCTGACCCAGCTGAGGTCTGGCAAGTAGCTCTTTCACGCTTTGCCTTCGGCTGCACCAGCTGAAAACAGGGCTGTGCCTGGAAGTCCATTACCAAAGCATACTTCAAAGCTGTTTGCACTCGTTGTCAGCCGCACTGAACAAGAGTTTGTTGAGGGAGAAAGCCAGTAGCCATACAGACCGATGACAGGAGGCGGGAAGGGGGGCTGCTCTTTGCCTGGGGTGACCGGGAAGGCGAAAAAGAAAACCTGCCTGCAGTTTTAACCAGTAAATAAAAACTGGGAGCCCTGCGTGGCTAAAACTGTAGGGGATTTATTAGTTTGCTTAGCGAAAGGCAAATATTAAGTCTTAAGTTGACCCGTCCTGGGACCTGCCTTTTGGCTTTTGTGTGCCGTCCGGCGCCGATCACCGTGTACTCCAGGTCACTGGGTTCTGTTGAAGGGTTTTTTTAAAAATTGTTTTCCATCTCCTTTTCTTTTCCTTCCTCTTCTGCCTGCCCTCTACTCCCACCTTTTATGGTAACTCAGGCCTGAGTTTGGGAGAGGTGGGGAGAGCAGGGCATGGAAGACTCCTTGTCCTGTGCATGAAGCTGCCTGTGCTCAGGGCTCCGGCTGCCCTGCGGGCTACCCACAGCTGCCACGTGGTGTCCCAGGGCAGTGAGTCTACCAGGTGGACCTTGTGGATCTCCTCCATCCTCTGCCCTGAGCTCTTAAAAAATTAGGTCCCAGGCTATTACGCAAAGGTCTGGCCTCTGATTAAACTTTAATGAGCATCATAGCAGCCATTGCTGGGGTGGGGGTGGGGTGGAAAGTACAGATACCCCTGCCTCCAAGTTGTTTCCCAGTGACAGATGATTTCAGCCTGATGTGCTGAAAGATTAACCGCTAAGGTAGAGCTCGGAGTGCTAATCACAGCCCGACCAGGGCTTGTTACTCTCCATGGAGTGAAATATCCAGACCCCCCAGAGGCTGGACAGCCCCACCCCACCCCTAGTCTATCCAGTTTCCAAGGATGAGCTGCAGAAAATTAAACTAGACGGCGCATTCTTTACCCTTTGCCTTAAACGTCTTCAGTCCGTTCTAAAGCACTGCCCCTCTGGGAGACTCAGGTCTCCAGGATGGTGTCCCCTGATATCCACCCCCTGTGGGGTACAGTACACCAAGGCATGTCGCTGCACTTCAGACCCCAAATGCCCTCTTCCAGGCCACACAGGTAACCATCCATGGAGAAGGCATCTTACCAGCTTGCCCGGATATAACGGTCCCCCACCGCTACTCATACAGTCAAGAGTTGGGAATGTTCTGGAATTGCTTAATTAGGAAAGTTCCTTTCACACTCCAGTGGCGATTTTTGATTGAACTCAGCATGGTTTTTAATCCTCTGGCGAGTCTTCCTGGATGAGTCTATGTTTTAAAAGAGAGATGTTGGGCACCCAGGCGACTGAAATCCTGCTGATCCTTCAAGGCTCGTTTCAGATGCTGCCTCCTCTAGGAAGCCTTCCTGGGTTTCTTACTCCCTCTCAATCAGTTGTTGTCTCCTTCCCTCACACACTCTCTTAACGCAGCTGGCATTGGATAGGAGCTCAAATATACCGATCCCTCCTTGCTTGACCGTAGCACTTTCTGTATGTCATTTATTGTGCTTAAACTGAACTTTTAAAAAATTACCCTCTTTTCTCTGTCTTCCTCCCTTTCTCCCTTTCTCCCTTTCTCTCCCCCTCTCTCATAAAAGCAGGAATGGATCATTCCTTACACTCCTTGAAACTTATCCCTGAAATGCCCAGTAATGTTCAGTATCACATGGCAGGCACTGCGACTGACATTTAATCCTCAAAAAATGGAGGTGTGTGGGGATCAATCACTGCGCTCGAGTCTCGTATGTGAGAGCTGAGAGTCAAAACTAAGTCACTGAAGACCTGAAGTTCAGCGCTCTTAAGCTGTAGTGTGGTGGCTTTTACCCGGTAGATATACAAAAAGATGTTGAGTTGACTTTTCCTATGCATGTTCTGTTACTGTGTTTACCACCAGATTTGCCTGCTTCTTGTCCGTCCATTGTTAGAAAGTGTTCTCTGAACAGCATGGAAAGGGTGCTTGTTCCTTGTTGATTGGTTTTCCCTGAAGAAACTCTCCTTGAAATAGAATATGTCTGATTGTTGCCAGTTATCTGAGAGCTGGGATGCTTTTGAAGGTGGGAAAGAGAAATTCAAACTCAAAAGTTTCGGTCAGAATTTCTAAAGAAGTTCACAATGTCTACAAGGAATACAGAAGAAAAAGACAACACATGTGAGATGTTCTTTGCCTTTAGGACCTGCGTACAGTCTGGTTAGACAAGAACAGTAGCCATAAGACCATCAATCACATTTGCCAAGTAAACTTATGGTTAGTGTTACTGGAGAATCTGGGGGGATAATGCTGCCCACTCTTCACCCCGACATGAACATTTCCAGCAAGTCCCAAGCAGAGAAATTGGATAATGATGAGCAGACCTCCTGCTTCAGGAAATGGGCTTTGGTCCAAGGGGATACCTCTTGGGGACAGGGGCAAAGGTGGAAGAGGCACCGTTTGAGAGCAAGCAGACCCAGGGAGAGAAGAACCTGTTCCCAGCTGCTGTCTGATTAATCAACCCTTCCCTGGGGAGGAGCATATAGAGGAGGAGGGAGGACAGTAGAAGAGTAGGCAGAAGTGTCACCTTTTTGATGAAGAGAAGAACTCAAAGACCATCTCCTCTTTGTCTTCGTACAAACTAGTAAAATTAGAGTTTGGACAAAGTGGGTGTCCTCTGGGGGCTCTGGTCATCAGGACCAGTTTCAGACATTCAAGAGATGATAAGAATCCAGCCAAGAAAAATCAGCCAGTTCAAGAAATAATGCAGTCCAGCGTTTTTCAGGAAATAATACAGCCCGATGTCTTATTACAGTTGGAAAGCTCTTTGCGAAGCTTCTTATTTGAATCTCACAGCAACTTTGTAAGATGGTATTGAGACCTCATTGTTATAGGAAAGTAAGCTGAGGAAGATTCAATGAGTTGTCCTAGAGCACACCTGGAAAGCCCCTGTCCTAAAGGCGGTTACAGTTTCTCTGTGCAAACTGTATCAGTCACAGCAGGCTGCTGTAACAAACACCCCCAAATCCCCATTGTTTTACCTAATGTCTTTCCCACTCAATCTTCAGGGGGATGTCAGTTGGCAGTGGTGGGGGAAGAATGCAGTTTTTCATGCAGATATTCAGGGACTCACGTTTCTATCTTAGGACATTTCTTGACCTCTCGCAGTGACACCTCCAGGGAGTAACTTATCCTCATCTTTAAACTACTTCCTAAGGTTGCTGTAAGGTTTAAATGAGCTATTGTCGGGGCAGCACTTAGAACAGCACCCGGGACACAGTGCTGGATAAATGTGGGCTCTTGGCTCTATGTTCTGAGTGTGGAGCCATCTGGGCCCCGTCTGCCATGACTCTTGGCTCACACAATCTCTGTGTCTGGGTGGGAAGAGGCGTCAGATGCAAATTCCGCCACTACATTTATGCTTCCCAGATGCGAAGTGGTATCCCTGAATCTCTGTGGTTGTGAGGAGCCCTTTGGTTGTTCAGTTTGGTTTGGGGGCTAGAGCTGAGTTGCCAGCCAAGAGTACAGGTGTTGGTGATGCCTGGATACTGGCCCTCGGAACAGGGACTCTTTTTCCTGGGGACCCTCAGCACCACGTCAGCTTCACCCGACTCTGATGCCAGTCAGGCTTTTTCTCCCAAAGGCCAAGTGTTCTCCAGAATCAGTCAGTTGCCTCTACTAACTAAGGAAGCCCTACTGAATACTCAGTGAGACATACCCGTTGGGTTCTTGAAGCCCTTTTGGTTGCCTCCTCTCCTGGGACAGAGAAAACAGCTGATCTCGTAAGTCAAGCAGCCTTCCCGTCTTTCTACACCTAGATTTCAAATCACACCTTTCTTCTCCACTGAGGACCAACAAGCTCCTCTCTCAGACCCCCGGCTGGGCGTGGGTTCTTGAAACTCTGAGACCTCAGTCGCCCGGGATTCTGGCACCAGCTCCGCCGGTTTCGTCTTCGGCCCTCCTGGCACCTCTGGAGAATGGAAAAGCTGGTCTGTTTACAGGACCTGGGGCCAGAACAGCATTAAAAACTAAGGAGCAAATAAAATGTTGTAAACAAATTTCCTTTCCAGTAAAGAGTGCTCCTACCCCGGTCCTCCAACAGGAACCATTTTTCTCATGTGTTTGGATAAACGTTCATCTTGGGTAATTACCATTCCCAGGGAGGGGCTGCCTATTTCCGCTGGCTATTTATTTTGATTTTGACCCTTCCTCCCCCTTCTGAGCATCACACACCTAATAGTACAGAAACCGTGCTCCCTCTCAGGGCACAGGGAGCAGCTCCCCAGCCTCCCCTTCTGTCCTCTCTTCCATCACCCCATTACCTCCCGACTCCACATCAGGGCCCGGACATGGTGGCAGCTTGTGCTGGATGGATGCTGTTCTCCAGGACACCTAGTAGCCTTGGTTAAGTGAGAAGGAAGGAGGGCAGGAGGTGAAGCAGAGGAGAGAAATGGTTTCAAAGAAAAGCTGGAACCGATACAAAGGGTTGTGTGTGGGTGACCATCTCTCTGCAAAAGCTCTTCGGCATGAATCCCCCTTGTGAGTTTTTGTGTGAGCAGAAAGCCATTGATCTCAGGTTTCCTGACCCCAGCAGGTAGCTTATTGTAAAACAGTTCATCCAGAGGGGAAAAAATACCTTGTTTCAGCATTTTAATTTTTTTTTTCAGTGCTCTGAACCAGACTTGTGAGAAAGGAGATGGAGAGGAATAGTTTTTTGTTTTGTTTTGTTTTTTTCCCTAGCTCTGAAGTACGGGAAACTGGAGGGAAAAAAAAAAAGAAGAATCAAACAACTTAAAACAATGGTTATTCTTGTTTACAAATGCATTGTGTTATTAAAGGCCTCTATTTGCATATTTTAAACCATCTGTCTTCCTCCTTCCCCTCCGCCCCCTATTTTTCCTTTCGTGCTGGGATGGAGGAGGGGGGAGCACACCCCAGGCTGACAGAGCTAAGTGTGGGTAACCTTCACTTTCTATTCAAGTTCTCTTCACTTTCTAAATTCTTTGCCTTTGCCTGGTTGGATGTATTGATACTCTTGGAGGTGCCGAATTCAGAGAGGCCCCGAAGAGCAGAGCAGTGCTGACTC